TTTACAAAACAGATCCTTTCAATGAAGATATTTGTTCTGTGAAGTTTGGATTTAGTTGTGGGGCCACGCTTAGAGATCTGGAGGGCCACATATGGCCTTGAAGCCACAAATTCCCCACCCCTGGACTATACTATAGTTTGAATGTAATCCCTACAAAATTCAGGTATTGCCAATGTGATAGCATCAGGAGAGGAGCCCTTTAAGAGATGATTAGGCCATAAAGGCTCCTCCACCATAAAGGGGATTAAGACCCTTATAAAAGAGGGCTGGCACAGTATATGCCTGGATTGCTCTTCCATCTTTCTGCTGTAAGCATTCCTCTCTTTGGTGGATGCAGTAACAAGGTGCCTTCTTAGAAGCAGAGAACAGGGCTCAACAGATAATCAAAGCTGCTACTGTCTTAATCTTGGACTTTCCAGACTCCCAAATGGTGGAAAAATAAATTTTTATTCTCTATAAATTGCCCAGTCTTAGGTTTTTAGTTATACCAGCAAAAAAGGACTAAGACAGGCTGCCATACCAAAATGATATAGACTCTGTGGCTTAAACAATAGGCATTTATTTTCTTCTAGTTCTGGAGACCGGAAGTCTAAGAACAAAGTGCCAGGAGGGCTGGTGTCTCCTCTTCAGTTGCAGACAGCAGCCTTTTTCCTGTGTGCTCTCACGGACTTTCCTTAGTACATGTGCAATGACAGAGTAAAAGCTCTCTTCCTCTTTCACAAGGATACCAATCCCACCAAACCAGAGCCCCCTGCCCTCCTTCGCAACCTCATTTAATGTAATTATCTTCCCAAAGCCCCATTTCCAAATTATCACACTGGGGATTAGGGCTTCAACCTATGAATTTTAAGGGGATACGTTCATTTGGTAGCGGTAGGTTAAGCAAGTATGTTAGTAGAGTTGTTAATCAATAAGAAAGGTGAGACACTGTCCCCACCTTGAAGAATGGCAATTTCTTTCTAGTGCTTGGACATACCTGTTAACAAAGTGTAATTTGAAAGAATTTCAAATTTAAAAACACTTAGACTATAGAATTATTCTCAAAATCGGTTCCTTTATTATGTTTTGTAACTCAGATTATCTAATTTATGAGAGTTAAAATATCCAAACAAAACCATCTTGATAATTATTGTGATACATGTCAGGTTTTTATATCTAGGTTTTTAAAATATCCAAACAAAACCATCTTGATAATTATTGTGAGGTTTTTATATCTAGGTTTTAATTTGAAAACTTTAACTGCTGTCTGAACATTTTCCACAAGCAAATCTACCAATAATTTTAAACCAGTCACTGCAAATTTCAAATGATCTTCAGTTTTTGTTAGCGTAAAAAACATCTTTACATGTTTTAAGAGTACCTCTAGAAACTAAGGAATTGTATGTTTTATATGCTTATATATGATAGTGGGACACAGCTATATCCTCTAGTTTTAATTATAGGAAACATATAAGCAACTGTAAGGCTTAGCTTTATTGTTTTATAAATGAACCAGTGAAGTTCATTTTACTGAAATGAGCACATGCTTTTCATAAATTAAAATAAATCTCACATGGTAAAGTACCCATTTTGAAAATTAATTTAATTACATGTTTAAAATTTAATTACATTTAATTAAGCATTTAAGTTTAATATGAAATAAATGAATTATCAGTTAACTCTATGAAATGAAATACTGCCTTGATAATTAAAATCTATAAATTTTCCTGTGGAAAACTGCTAGTTCTCAAAACACACTCAGAAAATATATATTTTAAAGACTAAGGGGCCATATGCTCATAGTGTAATTGCTCTGGCACCTAGCTTGGTGGGCTGTACATTTTCTGCCTCAGTAAATGGAGGCAATGTGGGACGGAAAAAAGATGCAGAAGATTTGGAAACTCAGGTTTGGATGTTAGCTCAGTCATTTACAGCCTGCAACAGTAGGAGAGTTACTTACCAACTCTAACCTGAAGCTTTCTATAAAATGGGGCTAATGTTTCTTCTCTCAGAGGGTTTTGGGAGAATTAAACAAAATATCCCATGGTCAAATGTATTGAAGAATGCACAACTTGGAATAGATACTTGACATAATATTAATTCTCTCTTTCCCTCAGTTATTGAATGAATAAAAAAAAACTCTGTACTTTCTAGCATTAAAGAGTTTTACCCTTAACATATACCTTTTAAATTACAAAAGTAATATCATATTATTTTTCGTTTACCTATATCCTAATGGTGTGAGTGTAACAGTTCATGCCTATAATTCTAGCATTTTGGAAAGCCAAGGTGGAAGGATCACTTGAGCCCTGGTGTTCAGGACCAGTCTGGGCAACATAGTGAGACCCTGTCTCTATAAAAAAATTTTAAAAATTAGCCACACATGATGGTATGCATCTGTAGTTCTAGCAGGAGGCTTGCTTAAGACTAGCAGTTTGAGGTTATAGCGTGCTATGACTATACCACTGCACTTCAGCCTGGGTGACAGAGTAAGACCCTGTCTCAACAACAACAACAACAACAACAAAATAAATAAAAATAAATGAGGCCAGGCATGCTCGCTCATGCCTATAATCCTAGCATTCTGGGAAGCCAAGTTGGGTGGATTGCCTGAACTCACAGGTTGAAGACCAGCTTGAGCAAGAGGGAGACCCTGCCTCTAAAAATAGCCAGGTGTTGAGGCGGGCGCCTGTAGTCCCAGTTAATTGGGAGTCTGAGGCAAAAGAATCGCTTGAGCCCAAGAGCTTGAGGTTGGTGCCAGCTATGATGCCATATGACACCATGACATTCTACCAGGTGCAACAAAGTGAGATTCTTGTCTCAAAAAATGTATACAAATAACAAAATAAAATAAAACAAAAACACGATACTGAATGTATACTTTTCATTTATTTTCTTAAGCACTCCATGAATGGAGCTTGTATAGTTTTACTACTAACACTAATTTTTGAATCAGGGAGAACTGACTTTGAATCTGGGTTCTACCTGTTTTTTTTTTTTTTTTGCAGTTTTTGGCTGGGGCTGGGTTTGAACCTGCCACTTCTGGTATATGGGGCTGGTGCCCTACTCCTTTGAGCCACAGGTGCCACCCCTCTACCCTTTTACTATTTGAGACATTATGGGAAAGTTACTTTGACCCGCTTCCCAAGCCTGTACATATATGTATGTTTGGTTCAATGTCTGGCAAAAATTGGTAACTAGTATAATTAATATAATCGTTCCAATTTAACAAAAAATTAATGATGTATGTAGAGGAGGTGTTATTTCCTCCTCCCCACAGCTCTGATTTTCATGAGGATATTGATTTTCACTGAATTTAAGGGATTTGCTCAAGGTCAACAATAGGGTGACTGTAGTATTAGAATCCATATGTTTTTATTCTGTTAGCAGTGCTCTATTATAACACAGGAAGGTAAAGGTGAAAGATGTCAAAAGCTGCAGTAGTGGGGCGTTGCCTGTGGCTTAAAGGAATAGGGCACCGGCCCCATATGCTGGAGGTGGTGGGTTCAAACCCAGCCCTGGCCAAAAACTGCAAAAAAAAAAAAAAAAAAAAAAAGCTGAAGTAGTGAAGCGAAAAGAGAAAAATTTGACAAATTAATCCAATTCTACTACTTAATAATTAAGCCTCAGATAAATCATTTCTGCAAATTTTAGTATCTACTGGAAAATGGAAATATGTACTTTTACAGGGTTAATACAATTATTACACAAGGTAACAAATGTAAAGAACATAGCAGGAGTGACTGGTACATAGTAGGGAGTCACTCATTAATGGCAGATATTAATGCTAAGAGCTATCAAAGCATCACTTTTAATAAGTCTCTAGTCATATACTTGAGAATTCCATAATAAACTGAATTAAAAAAAAACTGAATTAGTAAGAATAAATGGAATAGTCTTCACTAAATTTTCAGATTTTATTTCTGGAAAAGAGCCTATATATTTTTAAGTCATTTCAGTTCACAATTTCCTGCCTTTTAAGTCTCCATTTAATAACTCATCTCATTTAAAAAATGATGGATTTATAAGAGCTAAAGAAAATACAGGCAACAACCTATTTCATAGCCTACTGCAATAAAATTGGAATTAAATGTTCTTAATCCTTCATAAATTATTTAATGTCAAGTACTATAATTTTAGAGTTCTGCATTAATAAAATTATAAGCAGTATAAACAGGTTGTTTTAATACTTAAAACTCTTCACTGTAAAACTCAAACTCTAAATTGTCTCAAGACATCTAAAGTCATATACATTGTTTTATTTATTTATTTTATTTTTTTGAGACAGAGACTCCAGCTGTCGCCCTGGGTAGAGTGCCGTGGCGTCTAATTGGCAACCTCCAATTTGGGCTCAAGCAATCCTCTTGCCTCAGTTTTTCTATTTTTTGTAGAGATAGGGTCTTGCTTTTCCTCAGGCTGGTTTTGAACTTGTGAGCTCAAGCAATCTACCCACCTCAGTCTCCCAGAATGTTAGGATTACTGGTGTGAACCACCTGGCCCGGCCTACATTGTTTTATTTATATGTATAACATAATTAGAAATAGAAAGCCTTCAGAAATAAAGTATTATAAAACATACACTTGTTTATGTTCTGAAAGGGTATTTACTGAAACACTAAGCAAGCATCAGGACTTTATATCATTTTCATCGCTGTTACTATCAATAAGTATTTACTAGTTGTCTATTTGCACTTTTGGGTAAAAGACCCTGATTTAGAACTGTTCCACACTTTCTTGAAAATAAAACAAGCAAGTATTATAAATTTGGTGTCTAGACTTTTTCAAGATACAAGTTAGAGTAACAACAAGTCCAAGAGTTACACAACCAGAAAAAAAAAAGAAAAAACACATAAAGAAATATTATGAAACGTATGTACAATTATGGGTACATATTATGTAGAAAACTAACATTATTGTTAGCGTATTTACCTTGGGATAAGCATTCTTTTAAAAAATGTGGTAAATATGAATTATATTACTCTTTGGAATCAGAATTTACTATTAAGTGGGTCATTAACTTACCCAGGTTCTTCTTTAAGAGTTGAAGATATTTTTTCTGGAAGAAAAAATCCATGCCATTTTGAAGCTTCAATTAGTTCCTGTGGTATCCTTTTTGATGCATCATAATAGTGACCAAATCTTGAAGATGACACTGGTCCTGCCTGCCAAAACAATCCATATTGGTTGATTTAACACAATTTTTTTGTAAACTATAATTTTTTTTGTACTACATACTGCAAAATGATGATGTATTTATGCATTTTTATGCTAAAAAGGAAGAGCTGATATACACATTAAATTTGAAAGAAGCACACAATCTTTATTATTTAAACTATTTATAGTTAGAAATCAACCATTTCATCTGTCATGTTTCTTCATGCTTAGTGGTGCCCTAAGTTTGTTAAGAATGTAAACACCTTATTGTATATGTTCCTAAGTTAAAGAATTTAATGTACTAATTCTTAATTAATATCTAAGATTACAAGTTTAATGACAAAATACACTACTAACTAAATGAAAACTTAAGCCAAGTCAATTCACTGCTGAGAGGCTCTAAATATATTAAACTGGGTAATAGCTATTTTAAAACTAGCAAGACAATATATATGTATTACATATTTAGTATTTCTTCCACACTTAAAATGAAGCTTACAGCATAAAACATCATACTGCAGTACTCCAGACAGGAAGAAGGCACACGGCACACAATAAAGTGGGAGAATGTGTATGAGCTATTTAGACTAACAATTTTTTACAACAAATTGTCTTTTTGTGAGAAACTCTAATAACTAGTGACACTGAATTTATTTACGTAGGACAGTAAAAGTCTACAAATAAAACATTATTATTATATTGCTTTGAATGGACTTTGGGCTAAATTCTCTCATTCAACATAAGGGAAATATATGTATGCCTCTATTCCAAATTAAATTATTAACAAATTCCATCTGGCAATAATTTCTATGAAGAATCTAATCTAATCTTACATAATTTCCACCATTTTGAATGCTACAAAACAGACCAGTTTCAGAACATCCAACTACACTAGATAATCTCTGCAGAAATTTAAGAATCATATATAGTAGATTCTCATTTTACTGACAATTTTTAAATTTAGATTAAGAAACCCGTATTTTCTTGACACTAGATATTTGCATTTAAGACTTCAAGGATTCATATTATTAAATGCCTATAAACATGAAATTATACAGTGATAGAGATAAAAAACTTTTAAGTCTAAGAGAAACATTTTTCTTAGATTCACAGTCCAGGGATTTGATATTCATTTTCTAAATCAAATGACTGCTCATCCCCCATGAGGTACTACTTACTTTCACTAGCGAAAGAGATCTATGAACTGGCTTCAGGGTAATGTTTCAGTGCAATATGTACAGAATTATTATTCTCAAAACACAATTTATCCATTTACCATGAAACTAATGACTAATAAATAATATAACATTAAAATGTTTCTTACAAATAGGGTGTAAAGTTATTAAATGTAAAGTTATTAGTCTAAAGCAATTTAAACAAGGTCTGTTCTTTGGCCTATAATCTATTCTTTATCCGGATTATAGTTCAGAATGTTTTTACTGCAATCTCTGCTAGAGCTCATCTTTTTATTGTGTAAGTCCAAGCCTCCTTAATGTTTTAGAAAGGCCTTGACTAACTGAACTTTGATCTGATGTCTTCATTGAGAAAAACACCAGGTTGCCCATTTCAGATGCAAATCCCCCTAAGGCCCAATAGAATTTAGTAAAGACAGCAAAAAAGAAAAAAACAGAAGTTTCCAGGATCCTCTTTGAGAATCCTGGGGCACACTGGTGTCCTTAATCCATGCTGCCGCAGGGATTAAGGTAGGTGATAACCTTTCCTGATTCAAAAGAATAAGCAGAGTGCCTACAAACTGGGTGGAGACTAGGATTTGGCTATAATAAAACACCATGCAATAAAAGCTTGGTCTATGTCAGATGCCTCTGAAAAGGCCTCAATGTACCACATTCCCAGGCCTAGTAGGGAAGCTTGCAAAAGCCTACCTGAATCAAATAAGCATGAATAATCTATTTTAGCAGACTGGCCATGGGGAGAGAAAAAGAAAGAGAGACTTTTCACTTCTTTTAAGTTTGAGTTAATAAATTTATTAGTGGAGTGAAGGTTCTTGAAGTCCTATGTACTCAGAGAAATATGCTAAATTGCCAAGAAGCAAAAGTATGCTTTTTAAGTTGCCGTCTCTATTAATGTTTCTAATTACAATATTAATGTGATAGAAATTTCAGATTTGGGATGAATCAAGGCAGAAAATTGATTTCATGCTGTGACAGTTTACATATAGAACACAAATAATTCATTAAATTGTAAAAATAAAATTGGAAGCTTTTCTCATAATTAAGTCATTAATTTATTTAGAAATTAAGATTAGGTATGATAGCTAAAATATATTTATATGGAAGACATAAAATTGAATGGCTGATAAAAATGTTAACATTTTAATAAAGAATAAACATAAAAATGTATTCTTACAGGAAAAAATAATTTTCCAAGTTTACTACCCGAAATATATACCATTAACATATAATCTGATTTTTTAAACACTGAAACCTTTTGCGGCCTACAATTGTAAAACAAAGATTTAAATTTTTCCTCCAAGAAAAGATAACTAAGTGTTATAAATATAGTAATTGCCCACAAAAAACTGTCATCAGCTCCATTAAAAAAAAAAAGTTTCATCAGTAATTACTGGTCAGTTTGGTAAGAACATGTTGCTTTAGTTCTACAGTATGAAAACTTCTATTTCATGTTCATCAACTACTTTTTAACTTTGTCGTCTGTGGAACAGAGTAAAATGGAATGATTTTACCGTGCTAAAAGAAATTGAACTCTGACGGGGTACAGGAGGAAAACAAAGCAACAAGACAATACCAGACCTCTTCAGTATGTTACAAAGAAGAGAGAAAAGCCGCATCGCAAATAGTCTAAATAAGACATTTTCTTACCACTGTTACCACCTTGTTTTTCAGTATGGCATAATAGGCACAAGGAACCAAACAGCATCTAAACACTTTGAACCTCAGTTCAATCACTGGAAACTAGAGCTAACAATTACTGCACAAGGCTGTGGTGTGAATAATGTGACACTGGCAATGAACATTTTGTGAATTATAAAGCAATATGTAAATATTATTAATTATTATTTTTGGGTCATGATGCTCTAGAGCAGCAGTTCTCAACCTGTGGGTCGTGATACCTTTGGGGGTTGAACGGCCCTTTACAGGGGTCGCCTAAAACCATCACAAACACCCTGTACAAATATAGGTGTATGAAAATAATTTTATGGTTGGGGGTCACCACAACATGAGGAACTGTATTAAAGGGTCATGGCATTAGGAATGTTGAGAACCACTGCTCTAGATAATCAGAAAATCCCTCACTCTCCTTTGTAATTACATTGCCTTATTGAAAAAAAACTTGTCATCTATACATAGATGTGTATCTATTACAGGACTGCTGTGGCTGAATCACTTAGACAGAGAGCCAAAGTATAATGAAAATATAAATACAATGAAGACCTAATACCCTGCCATGAATTGCTGGAGCCATTGTAGGCCATGGTATTAGAGCTCTACAATATTGATGAAATTATGTCTCAGAGTATAATGTAGGCTAACAAGTCATGGAGTGAGCAGGGGTTGATAATTAGACAGGGAAGAAGGCACGTTAACCTTGGAGAGAACCAAAATCACATCATGAGGGAAGGGAAGTTGTTTAAAATGATGCTGTATGAAGTACTGCTTTATGCTTTACTAAGCTATTATTATTGATTTAGATGTGTAGATTCTTATCCTTTTTTGCATTTCCTAGGTGGGAATATGACTACACTCTTAGGATCTGGTGACAACTTATTTTAAAAGGTATCTCTGTTAATCAACACACCTAGTTTTGAACTATTTATCTAATCTTAAGCTGTAATAGTGTTAACTGCATTTTGTCTCAAGTAAAATATAGAAAACTCAAGTTTTTTGTTTTGTTAAACTGAGAATGACAAAGTGTAAGACCCAAATTTATAAAGTAGATGATGATGAATGATCACCAAAGCCTTTTAGTATTGGCAAATCATCATATACAAAATTACTATGACAGGCAAATACACATGCTGGTGACATTTTACAGAAAAATAAAGAAACCAGACAATGATATTTTCTAAACCTGACATAACTAACTGTAAATACAAGTACATTTAAGTTTGACCATTGTCTATATATTCAAAACAAACTGTTATTTGTATTAATTAGCAACTTAATTCAGTTTAATATTTAATATACATTTCACGTAATTCATTCATGCATGTATCCCATAAATAACTATTGAGCACCCACTATATGCCAGTAAAACAAAATTGCCAAAGTCCCATTCTTGGCCAGGTACAGTGGCTCATGCCTGTAATCATGCCTGTAATCTTAGCACTCTGGGAGGCCAAGCCAGGTGGATCACTTGAACTCATGAGTTTGAGACCAGCCTGAGCAAAAGTGAGACCCCGTCTCTACTAAAAGTAGAAAAACTGAGGCAAAAGGATTGTTCAAGGCCAAGAGTTGGAGGTTGGTTGCTGTGAGCTATGATGACACCATGGCACTCTACCCAGGGCAATAGCTTGAGACTCTTTCTCTCAAAAAAAAAAAAACCACCAACCAAGTCCCATCCTTTCATTCTAATAGGAGGAGACAAATGAAAATAATAAAATATATTTTCTGCTAGCTGTAATGATGATAAGCATTTTTAAGAAAAATAAAGTGGTAGGGGGGGCGCCTGTGGCTCAAAGGAGTAGGGCACCAGCTCTATATGCTGGAGATGGCGGGTTCAAACCCAGCCCAGATCAAACACTGCAAAAAAAAAAAAAAAAAAAAAAAAGAATTTTATACATGTGCAGGCAAGTTGTGAGAGAGATTTCCAGAAAGTAGAATTGATGGAGGATACATGTACTTACAGTGTGGTAGACGGTGCCAGATTACCCTTCATGGGAATGAACCCATTTATATTTCCTCCAGCAGTTTCCTTGCGAAATCTTCAATCACATTATTTTATTTGCTGATCATCTTTGGCTATTATGTTGATTGTTCATTTAGCCTATCTTTTTTTTTAAACAAATAACAATAAATCCTCAGTTTGA